TCTCAGGAGTCCAGTTTCCTTCGTCACCAGGTCAGTCTCAGCTCTAATTTACTCGATCGTCAGTTAGCTCCGTCTGTTAAAGAACTCAAGATTGGCCCATCAGTTACACGTCAAACAGCTAGAGATCTCCGCCAGCCTGTTCAGACACCCGAATCCGTCACCTTAGTTTCAAAACCTGTTTCCATGCCTGATTACCTAGCCTCTGAATCAGTAATCCATTCTGGAACCCTTATTTTTCAAACAGTTAGCCTCTTGCCAGAATCAGCCAGTAACCCTGTTAACTTAGCTCCAAAGACTCCTCGGCGTAAGAAAAGGCGTCGCCTTAAGCCAGCTCTGTGCCGTCTAGAGACCCCTGGGCCAGCTCTGTGTCGTCCAGAGACCCCTGGGTCAGCTCTGTGCCGTCTAGAGACCCCTGAGTCAGCTCTGTGTCGTCCAGAGACCCCTGAGCCTGCCCTGTGCCATCCAGAGACCCCTGAGCATACACTTAAGAGGGCTTCAGAGAATGGAATTGGTGAAGGAATGCCTCCAGGAGCCCCTCAGCAAGGGCCACAAATCGCCAAGAGCTCTCTACAAACGCCTCACGCCTCCTCAGAGACTGAACTTGAGCCTCCATGGTCGTTCCCTCCAGCCCCTGAGGATGAACCACAGTCGGTGGTGTTTCCTGTTTCTGAGGTGGAGCCACAATCGGTGACCTCCCCAGTTCCTGAGGCGGATCCTCAGTCAGAGGGTTCGCATGTTCCTGCGTTGGAGCCACTGTCGGTGGGCTCCCCTGTTCCTGATCGGGAGCCGCAATTGGCGGGCTCCCCTGCTCCAGAGCCGCAATTGGCGGGCTCCTCGGCTCCAGAGCCGCAATTGGCGGGCTCCTCGGCTCCAGACCCTGCTCCAGAACCGCAGTCGGCGGCCTCTTCAGAGCCTCCTCCAGAGCCGCGGTCGGCGGCCTCTTCAGAGCTTCCTCCAGAGCCGCGGTCGGCGGCCTCTTCAGAGCTTCCTCCAGAGCCGCAGTCGGCGGACTCTTCAGAGCCTCCTCCAGAGCCGCACTCGATGGTTTCCCTAGAGCCTCCTCCAGAGCCGCACTCAATGGTCTCCCCAGAGCCTCCTCCAGAGCCGCACTCGATGGTCTCCCCAGAGCCTCCTCCAGAGCCGCACTCGATGGTCTCTTCATCACCGACCCCGTGGCAGACCCCCAGAGTGTCAGCCTCGCCCTCGACCCCGCTGCCGGCCACCTAAGACTTTGCTCCGTTGCCGGATCGTAGGCCGGCCTCCTGAACCTCAACCGTGCCTCCGGCCCGGCGGTGGTCTCCCTAAGACGCTGTTCCACCTTCATCTCAACGGTCGACCTTCTGAGCAGCAACTACGCCTCTGCCGTCGGCCCCACGGTAGGCCACCTGAGACTGTGTCCTGCAGCCGGCCCCACGGCAGGCCACCTGAGACTGTGTCCTGCAGCCGGCCCCACGGCAGGCCACCTGAGACTGTGTCCTGCAGCCGGCCCCACGGCAGCCCACCTGAGACTGTGTCCTGCAGCCGGCCCCACGGCAGCCCACCTGAGACTGTGTCCTGCAGCCGGCCCCACGGCAGGCCACCTGAGACTGTGTCCTGCAGCCGGCCCCACGGCAGGCCACCTGAGACTGTGTCCTGCAGCCGGCCCCACGGCAGCCCACCTGAGACTGTGTCCTGCAGCCGGCCCCACGGCAGGCCACCTGAGACTGTGTCCTGCAGCCGGCCCCACGGCAGCCCACCTGAGACTGTGTCCTGCAGCCGGCCCCACGGCAGCCCACCTGAGACTGTGTCCTGCAGCCGGCCCCACGGCAGCCCACCTGAGACTGTGTCCTGCAGCCGGCCCCACGGCAGGCCACCTGAGACTGTGTCCTGCAGCCGGCCCCACGGCAGCCCACCTGAGACTGTGTCCTGCAGCCGGCCCCACGGCAGCCCACCTGAGACTGTGTCCTGCAGCCGGCCCCACGGCAGCCCACCTGAGACTGTGTCCTGCAGCCGGCCCCACGGCAGGCCACCTGAGACTGTGTCCTGCAGCCGGCCCCACGGCAGGCCACCTGAGACTGTGTCCTGCAGCCGGCCCCACGGCAGGCCACCTGAGACTGTGTCCTGCAGCCGGCCCCACGGCAGGCCACCTGAGACTGTGTCCTGCAGCCGGCCCCACGGCAGGCCACCTGAGACTGTGTCCTGCAGCCGGCCCCACGGCAGCCCACCTGAGACTGTGTCCTGCAGCCGGCCCCACGGCAGCCCACCTGAGACTGTGTCCTGCAGCCGGCCCCACGGCAGGCCACCTGAGACTGTGTCCTGCAGCCGGCCCCACGGCAGGCCACCTGAGACTGTGTCCTGCAGCCGGCCCCACGGCAGCCCACCTGAGACTGTGTCCTGCAGCCGGCCCCACGGCAGGCCACCTGAGACTGTGTCCTGCAGCCGGCCCCACGGTAGGCCACCTGAGACTGTGTCATTTATGGCTTGAGAGCTCCAGAGGGTGGACAGGAAGGTGAGCGTTCGTGGATGGACTGAGTGGAGAACCAGCTTGAAGAAAGCAAAGCTTCCAGGAGAGAAGGAGGAAAGAAGGTGAGCTTGAGTCTTTAAGCATGTGGTTCAGTAAGATGAAGCTAGCAGGTAGGTTACCACTATGTGGAATTTTAACCGACTGGCGTCCATCCCAGATAATCCACTCCTCTAAATACTGCTCCCTGATTGCGTCCAATTGGAACCAGCCCGAGGCTTGTCTGGGCTGGAGTCTCTGAGGAGGAAAAGGTAAGAAAAAACCCTGACACAGCTCAGCACACAATCATGTGGACCAAACACTATCAGCCTCGTATGGTAGTGTTAAAACACTAAGAACATTCTAAGTGTTTTATCCCACTATAGAAAAAGACTATGTGGGCTTAAATATAAAATAAGCATTTATGATTAAATATTTATCCTGGAGCAAATGTCAGGGGACTCTGCTGAACCATATTTGGTGCTTTAAGTTCCATTACAATATTAATATATTAGGTTTTATTGCATTGATGAAAATTCGAGAAGAGATTTTGGGTGTTATTTTTAATTTGAGGGAAAAATTAAAGAAAGTTTCCATCCCTGCATCAGAGCGCTACCTGTTGGATCTATGAACGGTTTTCGATGCTTGCAGCCAAACTAGCAGCAGTAGTGGAGTTTGGAGATGCAATCCACTGCTTCAATCCATCTTTGTTCTCCTCTAATTTATCCAGAAGTTCTGCAATCGCTCTTTTTCTCTCCCTCCCAGCTTGGTGGTGGGCTCCATATTTAGCCTTCCCTGGAAAAGCCTTTCCTAATGACTCTTTTTATTATTTGATTATTTGCATCTTCCAGTCCACTTGGCCTGTCAGTTTAATGTCAGACCCTGTTATCACCATGTTCATAATATATGGAGCTTGATTGTAATAGAATAGTCACTCTGCATCCCCAGTGGTGATGAGATCAAATTCAGTCTGTAGGTCAAAGTTTAAGGGGGCAGGAATCGCGTTGTTTCTATTTGGTGATACAGTAGCAGCCATTCAAAATGGCCCTTCCCAGTCAAAAGCCAGTCCAATGGCAGCCCAATGCCAGCAAAATCACCTCCAACTTCCAGCCACTGACCTTCTCCTGGGCCTGCATAACTGTTTTACTCTGACTCCACCCTTTGGCTAAGTTACAGGGTCTGCCCAGGAGATGATGCTTCGCTTTAGATCCTAATGTCCACAAATCATGACAGAATATTTTAATACAAAGATTGATGTTAAAAATAGGAATTGTCGGGGACCAGCCAAGGACCAGCCAAGGGCCGGCCTAGGACCAGCCTAGGACCAGCCAAGGACCAGCCTAGGACCAGCCAAGGGCCAGCGGAGGACCAGCCAAGGGCCGGCCTAGGACCAGCCAAGGGCCAGCGGAGGACCAGCCAAGGGCCAGCGGAGGACCAGCCAAGGGCCGGCCTAGGACCAGCCAAGGGCCGGCCTAGGACCAGCCAAGGGCCGGCCTAGGACCAGCCAAGGGCCAGCGGAGGACCAGCCAAGGGCCGGCCTAGGACAAGCCAAGGACAAGCCAAGGGCCGGCCAAGGACAAGCCAAGGGCCGGCCTAGGACCAGCCAAGGGCCGGCCTAGGACCAGCCAAGGGCCGGCCTAGGACCAGCCTAGGACCAGCCAAGGGCCGGCCAAGGACCAGCCTAGGACCGGCCTAGGACCGGCCTAGGACCAGCCAAGGGCCGGCCTAGGACAAGCCAAGGGCCGGCCAAGGACAAGCCAAGGGCCAGCCTAGGACCAGTCAAGGGCTGGCCAAGGACCAGCCAAGGACCATCCAAGGACCCTTCAATGAAAGTGGGGACATTTTGAATGTCTACTGCTGTAACTTGGCTTTGAACTGGCAAACAACAAGTTGGAGGGCAGACTTCTGCATCCAACGACTGTAAGAGATACCAGTCCTTCCTCAAGAGTTTAGAGACTTAGCTGTGGAGTCGTCATCCTGCTGGAAGCAGACTCCCTATCATGTCAAGCAGACATGGAGGACTCTACCAAAGCGCGGGATCGGATGGGTGTCCAAAGTGAAAACAGTGAAACAAAATCTGCAGTTCTTGTTTTTGAATCAAATGAATTATGAGTGAATCTGTTTTTCTCTCTATGCAATCAGGTTTTAAATATCATTACAATTACAGTCTCCTAACAGAAAAGGAACCTTGTGTTAATGTAGGTCTGCTAAACTACCCATCATTTTAGTTCGTCAGCTGAATCTTTTGTAATGAATTATGCTTCTGACTCAGAAAACAACTAAAATAATAAATGTACTTTTTTTTTGTTCCTTTTCATTTTCTGTCATTTCATGCTCCGTCCTTTTGAACCTTGCAGGTGTTCAACCCTCGGGCCATTCCTGTACTTTTTAAAGTTTACAGCTGACACACCTATGAGAAACATGCAAGCATGTGACAGTTAGAAGCTCAGAGCATTAATGCGGCACAGAAGTGAAACAGTTGCTTAATATGCAGCCATGGAAGGGGTGGGATTTACTTTGTAAAAGCCTGATAGCCCCAGTTTTAGCTTCCAGTTTGAGAAGGTTAAGGTGACTCCATGCAGTCATGAGTCCATTAACTTCGTCAGGAATGAAACTGCTATTTCTAACAGTGCTCTTCTTGGTGAGTCCAAATAATCTAATTGCTCGTTACTTTAACTTTGATCAACTATGACTCTCTGCACTCTGAGATTAATGGTTTATTTTTCAACAGACGAGACTTTCCAGAGTAAACTCCTCATATCAAAAATGCTAAATGCTCTTTTCTTGTTTGCTCAATTTAAAGTCAAACAAACCTGTTCTCTCATATTAAAAAGAATGTATCCTATCAGACAGTCAAAAACGTTCGGAAAATGAGTAAACATGTCTTGAAATAGCTGTATTTACTTTCAATATGAGAAGGAAAATAAGATGATCTGACAATGGAATTACCATTTTTACCCTTAAAATAAGATATTAAGATATTATACACTTGAAATAAGAGACTGCAGTTTATGTTCTCTTATTTTAAACATACATTGTCTTGTTCCAATGGCAAAGTGTCTCACCTGCTTAACTCAAGAAAAAATGCTCTAATTTAAGAGAAAGTGACTGAGTTAGATTTTTTTTTTTGCAGTGCAATCACAATCCTCTGAAACAGTTCTGTAAGCGCCATCTGTATGCAGAAACTTCTTCTAAAGAAGCGCGATAACCATTCAGCGATAAAATCGCGGGGCTAAAGCCAAATTTTGTCTGTCCCTACAGAGCATTCGGCTCAGAACCTCTGCAGGATTCACAAGCAGCACTAGAATCTAAAATGCATAGGAGCTTAGATCTGATTTCCAAATGCAGCTTTTTATGCGGGTGGGATTGGATCTAACATTAATTAAAAACATTTATTGAACCATAGAAATTATGAATACTAGCTCTATATGTTCTGCTGCAGACAGTTTTTCTTCGTTTTGTGCTGCATGCTGTTGGTTTAGGAAGCCTTTCTTTCTCTTCTTTGACTCTGATGGATTAATGTCTGTGTTTGTATTCGTCTTCCAAAGAAAATCACAAAAAGGATGAAACATAAAGCATGTCTGACTGATTCTAACTTTCTCTGTGCTTCCTGTTTGCTTTAAAAAAGACCAAACGTGGACTCAATGCATCTGCAACACTCAGCAAATTATCTTTTAAACAGAATCTGAGACTCCATTTGGTTTCTGAAGGGTTTTTGTTTTATTGGCTGTTTTATTTTGCTTGTTCTTGTATGCATTATCTGATCATTTCTAAACTACTGTGTTGAGAAAGGACATTTTTTAAAATTTAATATATGTGACTGTGCCTTTTATTGAATGTTTTAAATGTGGACCCCAGGAAGACTAGCTGTTTGCCATGGCAACAGCTAATGGGGATCCTTATTCAAAATGAAAAATTACAAAAAATGTAAGTGGATAAAACTGTTGGTACCCTTCATTTAATGAATAACCAACCATGGTCACAGAATAATCTGAGCAGTGAGCTGCCATTGTGTGGTGCCCAGTGAGCAGTGTGGGGTTAAGGGTCTTGCTCAGGGACCCAGAGTGGCAGTTGGGGATCAAACTCACAACCTGAGGATTCAAAGTCCTATGCCCTAACTACTAGGCTGCCACTCCCTTTGAAGTTTATAAAAGTGTTAATAAGAAATATAATTTTATGAAAACAAAGAGATGAAAGTCAGACGTTGCTTTTCAACTATGCTTGATTATTTAAAAAACAGACCTCTTTAGAAATGATGGTTCCCTGAACTTCATCTTTAGTTCCCAGCCTTCATAGTCAATCTCTGCCATGATTGGTTTCTGTTCCTGTCAATCAGCCCTCTGCTCCGCCCAGCAGCTATTCTGCTCCACTCCTCATCCAGGAGTCTCAGACTGCCTTTCCTGTTTCAGCTCCTTCCTTAGATGCTGATAATAAATGAGGAAGTTATGTCCCCTAAAAAAGCCATTGCGCCTCGGGGGCTTCCTCTCGGTTCTTTTCCTGGGAGCAAGTTATTTACTACTCTTAAACTCAAACTGGGTAAAACCATATAAAAAGGACAATAAAACAGGAATAAAAAAGTAACAAAGTTTATTCCAGATCAGGTCGTTACAGGACAGAGAAAGTGCTTGGAGCTGCACAGCTGTGGGCTCAAAAATCACGTCCGCGAGCGTCCAGCAAAGATTGAGCCCCGAAAAAAGGTCATCTCCTGCTTCTTATAGCTCATGAGTCTATGTGTTGCATCAGGTGGATGTTTAGCTGTCCGTATCAGAAACTGACACGCCATCCATGTCTTGAACTTCATGCAGCTTGCCTCTATGCTTCAGGGTTACAGATAGCTCTCCTCTATCAGTCCGGCTCCAAGATGTGCCCATATCCTGTGTATTTTTAAAGACACAAAGGCTGTCCTGATTAGATGACCTCCGTACACACAGTGACATCCACAATGTGAAGGAAGGCCTTCTACTCTGTCTAATCTGGCTAACAGAATAACAATGCACATGATGTATAGAGAATAAACCTAACACTGAGTATGATGAAGCTCCGGGCTCCTGGGGGCCCCTTCAGAACAGTCCAGTGTTTTCCCAGCTGTTCTCGGCTGTTTTTGTGTTTTGGCTCCTTATCCTGATGAAGACCCATGAGCTGCTTTTGAGACCAACCTTTCTGACCCTGCAGCACATTTCTCTCTACAATAGTCTGCAGATTGCATTGGATCCTGCAGAGATTCAGATGAAGCAAAGTAGCCCAGAGCATAACAGAGCCTCCTCCATGTCTCACAGTAGGGCAGCAATCTTTTCTTGATCTGTAGACATGGAGCTGATGGTTTGTCAGGTCTAAGCACCTAAAACCTCATACATACATACAGGGAAAGAAAGAAAGCACAGAGACAATTAATTCAGTTACTCGCGAGGAGAATATGAAGGAGACTGCAGAGTTTACAAATCTCCAACCCACTCTGCAGTCTTCAGCTTTCTCCTCGCCTTTTATTGAAGAAAAGGGGATGTCCCTAATTACATCAGCTGAGGTTTAACTAAAGGGAAAGGGGGAAACAAAAGGATCTTACTTTAAACCTCAGCACATATGTTAAAACAAAGCATGTGGTTGTTTTACAATTGAATTGTTCCAAGAACACATGTTTAGAAGAAACATGTGATAGAGGATGTTCAGGTCTCTTTTACAACCCAGCATGGGATAGAGGATGTTCAGGCCTCCTTCACAACCCATCCGTTGCATGACCTTTATCTGGAACAATCTTAAGCAAGAGTTAATAAAAGATGAATCACACATTATACATCATAATAGTTCATTAGAACACAACCCATGAAACACAAAGAAAGTAAGAGTATAAATAAAATATTTCTAACATGGTTGTAGGTAAAAAGCTCCATGTTTGTCTCCTCTGTCTGTAGGATGTTCTCCCAGAAGCTTTGTGGCTTGTTAACACGTAGTTTGGTGAATTCCAGTCTGTATTTTTATGGTTTTGTTATCAATGGTTCCTTCTTTGGCGTCTCCCATTAAATCCACAACAATGATGATAATGATGTTCCTGCAGCTCCTTTGATCTCTTTAGTAGCTTTTCTGGGTTATTTTGTTTCCGTTCCTATTATCGTCTCTCTAGATTCATCATTAATTTCCTCCCGCAGCCGAGTCCTTTCTAATCTCCTGAGACAACTCTTTCCATGGCTCCCTCTGGTCCATGTTCAGTGTGGTACACACCGTGTCACCAAACAGCCCAGTGACTAGCTGTAACCCTATAGAGGCCCTCTGACTGATTACTATATGGTGGGAACCTGTGATGCTGATTAGTGGATGTAACGTGTCCCTTTGATCACATTATTTTCAGTCTTTTCTAGAGGAACCATCTTTTTAGTCCAGGTCTGATTCAGGAGTTTATTTTTTTTATAATGTTATTAAAGCTTGGCTGGAAAGCAATGTCTGATTTTCGTTAACATATTTTCATAAATTATTTTTTGACAGGGTCAAGTTATTTTTAAGACCATAGTTGCTTTTTGACCACCAGGTCATGGTCTTCCCCCAAAACTAAAAGGGGTGAGTCTATTTCAAAATGAGGGGGTGACCCTGTTACATAATCTGCAGCATCAGCAGTACGATCAGAGCTCTCAAAAAAATTCAAAATCAATCCACTGGAATTTGTTTCCAAGTTTGAAGACGTTTCTCTTCCATCCAGGAAGATTTTTCAATTCAAAATGTCAGAAATAGCGTTTAGTTCCAGGTTTTATCCAGCAGCCCAACAAAGCCTGGTTTTAGTTTAGAAAACATGCAAATAGAAACGGATGAACGGGTCCCCCCCTTTGGAATGGGGGTCATTTGGCTTCTTTGTTGGCCTGCAATGCCCCATACCTGTATATGTCTCTGAAAGGGGGGTCATTAGAGGGAATAGTTGGCCTGGCTGAATAGGCGTGGTCCACTTTACTGTAAATGGGTTGGGGTTGCGATAATAGCGGGAAGGAATCATCTCTATCGCTGCACTGTAGGTTTTTGAAGTCTGAAATCTGAGTCCCCCCCCCTCTGCATACACAAAAAGCAGACACCATTCTGCTCAGATTGGGTCTGAGAGTTTGGGAGGCTTTGTTGGGCTGCTGGATAAAATCTGAAACTAAACGCTATTTCTGACATTTTGAAATGAAAAAGCTTCCTGGATGGAAGAGAAACGACTTCAAACTTGGAAACAAAGTCCAGTGGATTGATTTAACTTTTTTGGAATGACTCTGACCTGGATGACTGAGAATCATCAGCACGATCAGAGCTGCTGTAAGATTAGCTGATGATGATGAGCTGCATGACTACATCAACATTTTATAATAAATGCTGCTAAATGTGATCACATCCATGGACCAATTACAGTATTTTAAAATATCATTCTTACATTTTGTTCCAGTTTTTCCAAAATGTAACATTTCCTCTCAGAGGCGTCAAGTAACAGTTCATTTAACTTTGTTACCTTAAGTAGAAATATTGGCTATCTATGCTTTACAGAAGTAATTATTTTTCAAACAACTTTTTACTCCTTACATTTTAAAAATATTCTTGTTACTTTTGTTTCATTCAAGCTCCTTTTTTATTATGGCCTTTTGGTCTTAAAAAAAACCCATCAAAAATAATTAGCATCATCCAGACAATTAATTTCTTTGTGGTTGGACACGGCGCTGCCCCAACTTGTTGCTCACCACATACCAAAATTTTACAGCAGCACAGCATGCCGTTTAGTGATGATGAAAAAATCAGTGAAAAGAAAACATTTCAAAGCTGTTTCTTTGGTTACAGACATCTGTATTTTTTTACTTTACATTGTAAGGTTAAAGTAATGCTGATTAAAATATGTTTTAATTCATTCAGAATTTTAAAGTCTAACCATAGAAACTCATTTAGGTTTTTCATTACGTGGTGATTTTTTTTAATACAGGCACTTTAACTCTGTTTAGTATTCTATCATATTCACAGGTTGGATAGTCTCTGAACCATCAATGGTTTCTTCTTTCTAATCAGGCTCATTTGTCAGGTTTAAGTTACAGCAACCTTTAAAGTGTTAATAAACAGCTTTTATTAAACCAACTTTCCTTTTTTTTGCATAGTGTTGGATTTGGATATTGAATGTTTTTATTATCTGTAGGCAAAAAAAACCCATCATTATTAATAGACATAAAGACTGAATTAATCTAAATAATGTCTTTATAAATAAATGTTTTAATAATATTGTAACTATAAGGAGAGTGTGAAAATGAGCCAAAGGTTTTTTCATTTCAAAGATATTGTACTAATCTCAACAATGGAATTTCTGTTTCAGGTGATTGTGAGTGTTGATGCAGAAGAGAAGAAAACTAAAACACTGAAGAGAACCAAAAGGAATTGGATCCTTCCTCCTGCTAAATTGATGGAGAACACTGATTACAGCCATTTGAAGTATATTGCAAAGGTAATTGACTTCACTTCCACATCATTTAAGTCACTATGGGGTCAAAAAGCAAAGGGAAACTTTTAACCTAAAAAAAAAAAAGCTTTAAAAAAAAAGTTGTACCGTCATAATTAAGCAATTACAGATCAAAGGAAGGTTAAAAAAGGTTTATTGAAAAATAAGGAACAGCAGACAGGTGATCAGGGTAGGGAGTCCCGGTTCCGCAATAGAAGAGTGGAAGAGTAGTTAGTGCTTCGGGGGATCTAGTAACAGATCAGTTGATGAGTTTATTTGGATGAGGAAGCTTACAGTTTCAGTAATAAAAGACAGAGGGTGGTCAGGCAGGTGGCAGATCTGAGGAGTCTTCAGGTGAGTGTTTGCAGGAGTGCAGGACCCAGAGCTGCAATGTCAGGACCTAGATGTTTACTGTCAGGACCCTGGCTGCAGACCTACACTGTTTGGAACCAGACCTGCACTGTCAGGACCTAGACCTGTATTATCAGGACCCTGGCTGCAGACCTACACTGTCAGGACCTAGACCTGCACTACCTGGACCCAGACCTGCACTGTCAGGGCCCAGATATTTACTGTCAGGACCCTGGCTGCAGACCTAAACTGTCTGGACCCAGAGCTGCACTGTTATGACCTGGCTGCAGACCTGCACTGTCAGGACCTAGACCTGCACTATCAGGATCTAGTGCTGCACTGGCAGGATGCAGAGCTGCACTGTCAGGAACCCGAGCTGCACTGCTAGGACCCTGGCTACACACCTACACTGTCAGGACCCAGAGCTGCACTGTCAGGAACTAGACCTGCACTGTCATGATGCAGACCTGCACTGCCAGGACCCTGGCTGCAGACCTACACTGTCAGGACCCAGACCTGCACTGTCAGGAACTAGACCTGCACTGTCATGATGCAGACCTGCACTGCCAGGACCCTGGCTGCAGACCTACACTGTCAGGACCCAGACCTACACTGTCAGGACCTAGACCTGCACTACCTGGACCCAGACCTGCACTGTCAGGGCCCAGATATTTACTGTCAGGAGCCTGGCTGCAGACCTAAACTGTCTGGACCCAGAGCTGCACTGTTATGACCTGGCTGCAGACCTACACTGTCTGGACCCAGGCCTGCGCTGTCAGGACCTAGACCTGCACTATCAGGATCTAGTGCTGCACTGGCAGGATGCAGAGCTGCACTGTCAGGAACCCGAGCTGCACTGCTAGGACCCTGGCTACAGACCTACACTGTCAGGACCCAGAGCTGCACTGTCAGGAACTAGACCTGCACTGTCATGATGCAGAGCTGCATTGTCACGACCCAGTGCTGCACTGCCAGGACCCTGGCTGCAGACCTACACTGTCAGGACCCAGACCTACACTGTCAGGACCTAGACCTGCACTACCTGGACCCAGACCTGCACTGTCAGGGCCCAGATATTTACTGTCAGGAGCCTGGCTGCAGACCTAAACTGTCTGGACCCAGAGCTGCACTGTTATGACCTGGCTGCAGACCTACACTGTCTGGACCCAGGCCTGCGCTGTCAGGACCTAGACCTGCACTATCAGGATCTAGTGCTGCACTGGCAGGATGCAGAGCTGCACTGTCAGGAACCCGAGCTGCACTGCTAGGACCCTGGCTACAGACCTACACTGTCAGGACCCAGAGCTGCACTGTCAGGAACTAGACCTGCACTGTCATGATGCAGAGCTGCATTGTCACGACCCAGTGCTGCACTGCCAGGACCCTGGCTGCAGACCTACACTGTCAGGACCCAGACCTGCACTGTCAGGACCCTGGCTGCAGACCTACACTGTCAGGACCTAGACCTGCACTACCTGGACCCAGACCTGCACTGTCAGGGCCCAGATATTTACTGTCAGGACCCTGGCTGCAGACCTAAACTGTCTGGACCCAGAGCTGCACTGTTATGACCTGGCTGCAGACCTACACTGTCTGGACCCAGACCTGCGCTGTCAGGACCTAGACCTGCACTATCAGGATGTAGTGCTGCACTGGCAGGATGCAGAGCTGCACTGTCAGGAACCCGAGCTGCACTGCTAGGACCCTGGCTACAGACCTACACTGTCAGGACCCAGAGCTGCACTGTCAGGAACTAGACCTGCACTGTCATGATGCAGAGCTGCATTGTCACGACCCAGTGCTGCACTGCCAGGACCCTGGCTGCAGACCTACACTGTCAGGACCCAGACCTGCACTGTCAGGACCCTGGCTGCAGACCTACACTGTCAGGACCTAGACCTGCACTATCTGGACCCAGACCTGCACTGTCAGGGCCCAGATATTTACTGTCAGGAGCCTGGCTGCAGACCTAAACTGTCTGGGCCCAGAGCTGCACTGTTATGACCTGGCTGCAGACCTACACTGCCTGGACCCAGACCTGCACTGTCAGGACCTAGACCTGCACTATCAGGATCTCGTGCTGCACTGGCAGGATGCAGAGCTGCACTGTCAGGAACCCGAGCTGCACTGCTAGGACCCTGGCTACAGACCTACACTGTCAGGACCCAGAGCTGCACTGTCAGGAACTAGACCTGCACTGTCATGATGCAGAGCTGCATTGTCACGACCCAGTGCTGCACTGCCAGGACCCTGGCTGCAGACCTACACTGTCAGGACCCAGACCTGCACTGTCAGGACCCTGGCTGCAGACCTACACTGTCAGGACCCAGACCTGCACTGTCAGGACCCTGAATGCAGACCTACACTGTCTGGACCCAGACCTGCACTGGAAGGGCCTAGACTTGCACTGTCAGGACCAAGAGCTGCACTGTCATGCACTGCGGATATGTCTTACATTGTGGGAAAACCTCCTTCAGGGAACATCAGATAAAGATGTCTGATCCTCCTCAGCTGACTCCTCTAGAGGAGAAGCAGCTCTACTCTGATTCTCTCCCTGATGACCCAGCTCTCCTCTCTCTAAGGGAGAGCCCAGCCCCCCTGCAGAGGAAGCTGGGATCAAGGATCTGGTTCTTTGGGTCCTGATCCAGATTAATGACCAGAGGTGAGGCTAGGAACGTAGACTGATCGCTAAATCAAAGCGTTGCCTTTTCTCTAAGCTCTCTGAACCACGGCAGATGGAGCAGCATCTGCATTATAGCAGCAGCACCAATCCATCTATGGATCTCCACCTCCATTCTATCCTAACTTGCTTGGCCCTCAAACCGTCCGGCACCTCCAGACGGGGAAGCAGGGCTTTAATAACACTGTTTTCATTGGAAGCAGGGAGCTAGTTGAGGATCTCCTCAACCTGGTTTATGTATCCTCCCTGGGGGAGGCAGAGTTGGTGGTCTCCGCGCCAGACCCGTTCACCATCACCCAGACTGAAGTCAAAGAGGTGGTCAAAAAATTTCATGTTGGCGGGACTTCAGGGATTGATGTCTCATAGATTCTTTTCTCTGAAACAGTCCTGGATGAGAGAAGGCAGACTGTGATTTGGCCGAGGTTTTTTTAGAAGGTGCAGCCTTTTACTGCGCCAGAGAGGTCACATTTAATGGACTCCAGCTGTGGATCCGGTCCCCTCTGAGAGCTGCCATAAACTTGCTGGGAATTAGTCTCTTTATTTATCTCTAGGTAGTTCAGTCTTTGTTCCAACATAGTGGGCCACTCCAAGGTGATACAGTAATAAATAAAACTCTTTTCTCTGAGAAGGATATTTGAAATATGTTGTCTGTTTTGGTTTTAGATTCGGTCCGACAACAATGATCATGGAAAGCCGGAATATTCCCTGAAAGGACCCGGAGTTAATGAACCACCTTACGGATTATTTAAGGTGGACCAACAAACCGGATTCATAACAATCACTGGAAAGGTGGACAGGGAACAATACCCGTACTTCAATGTGAGTAGAACGATGTAAAACAATTCAATTCACTTTATTTATTTAGCACTAATTCACAACACGTCATCTCAGGTCGCGAGACAATTCAATCAGATCATCCAGGCAGGTTCTATC